GGGCAGTGAGGACGGAGGCGAGACCGGTGTAGACACGTTGCCGCACTCCTGGTGCCAGTTCACAGGGCCAACAGCGCGGTGTCCTGAGCGAAGCGCGTCCGCTGGCCCAGCCTGGGGCTGCCAGGAGACGGGTCTCACGGCCAAGTGGGGGACTGTGGCCTCGTGTGACTCAGGGTCTCGCACCTGGGTCTGGGCCCCTCTCCGGGGGCAGGAGCGTGTCCCCAGGCGGGGCGGCGGGGACATTTACCACCAGGTATGCCAAGGACGCGAGCAGGCGCGGGCCGCGAGCAGGCGCGGGCCACGAGCAGCGGCTCTACGTCAGCCGGAGAGTTTTATTTAGAGTTGACTGAAGCCCAAGCATTTTCCTGTTTAACAGGAAAGCTCCGGTCGGCGAGGCAGGGGGGGCGGGGCGGGGGCAGGACTCAACCAGCCCCCCGCGCTGGGCCTCCAGGCGCTGGGTCTCTCTGGAAGCCGAGCGAGCTGCAGCATTTGCCCACAAAACCGGGGAAGGCCGAGGACCGGAGGCAAGAGAAGCGGCCGGTGCCTGCCTTCTCCCCAGCTACACCCGCGCATTCGTTGCCCCCCTTTGGGCAGGAGGGGGCACCGCGCTAGTGTCTGCTCGGTGAGGAAAACAACGGAACAGATCTGCCGAAACACACCCCCACGACGACCTAAAGAGGGTGTCGGGGCCACGACAGGCCTCCCTCCGGCCGTGACCTTCCTCCCGCTCTGGACGCCCAGGGACGGACTCAGCAAACCCAGAAGGCGGCCTCCCGGGCTGCTCAACAGCGGCGGGGCCCCGGCAGCAGAGCAGGACGGTCCGACGCGGGAACAGCGCGGGAGAGCTCGGCCTGCCACCCGAGGGATCGCCAAGAATCACACGTTTCTCTGGACGGGACAAAGGGCGGAGGCTGATCCGCAGAAGCTTGTTCCGTCTTTAAACACGCCTGCCCCAAAGCTAGCAACTCTGCCCGTGGAAAGGTGAACTGCCTGAGTGCATGTTCCCTGGAACACTGTATGAACATGACATACAGGACATTTCAAGGACATCTCTGTGCTTTGTAAAATGAGTGGGTAGTGGCAAGACGGCTTTGATATCGGCGAAAGCTTTCTCACTTCAGCACTTGCCCCCTGTGATAGTCTCGGGGACCAAGAGGGCCACACTACCGTGTCTGAGTCACTGGAAGGCAGTCTGCGGGGGTGGCCGCAGTGTCCTGCTGGGGACGGGAGGACAGCACCGTCTACCCCGGGAACGCCATGCCAGGGCCGTGCACTGGTTTCCCGAAGGAGCCACGTTTCCAGGTCCAGGTTAAAATTCATTCTCATGGAGACATTTCAGACTTTCTCTGAACTGTCATAACTCGGGGATTCGGTACAAAGATCCAGCGGTTGCCAGAGCAGGATTGGGACTGGGTGACGGGGCAGAAGGCTACGGACCTCCCGCTGGAAAGTCAGCGTGGGGAGGTGACCTGCGGCAGGTGGCGCTGCGCGGCAGATCTGACAGCTGCTGGGAGAGGCAATCTTCCAAGTCCGGACCACAGCAGACGGTTCCTGTAACCATGGCGACAGGTGATAACTAGACTCCCGCGAGCATCTCACAGTACACACAGACATCCAGGCATTATGCTGTACATCTGAAACCAAAACGTTCCATGTCCATCGAACCTCAATTAAAAATTCTTTCATAAACAAATGCGGAGAAGCAGCGGTTCCACAAGAGCGGGCCTGGCGCCGGCTACGCCCACACTCCAGTCCATGGCGCGGCTCCCCAGGGCCACCTGCCTCCTCCGGCTCCTCAGCCAATCGCGATCTCGAGCCTAAATCTTGACGTTGCGAGTACTCACGTGTGATTTTACTCTTCACTGGAAATACTGAAAGTGACTTAAAGACCGCCAAATCCAACAAAATCTGCCTCTATGATGTTTCACGTGTTTAGAACAAAGAACGCTTCGCCATTTGCCCTTATCGGAAACTTCCTCAACGGTGGGAGCAAGTGTCCAGCTTCTGAGTGACTGCGTGCCAGGCTGCTCTTCACTTACCCTGATCTCTCTCTCGGAAGCACCGTTTATAAAGCCGATTATTTTAAAAGTGAACCACAGATCAAGAGTTAAGCTATTTTTTTAAGATTATTTATTTATTTGACAGAGAGAGAGAGAGAGAGAGAGATCACAAGTAGACAGAGAGGCGGGTGGGGGGCGGGGAAGCAGGCTCCCTGCTGAGCAGAGAGCCCGATTCGGGGCTCGATCCTAGGACCCTGGGATCATGACCTGAACCGAAGACAGAGGCTTAACCCACTGAGCCACCCAGGTGCCCCATGAGTTAAGCTATTTCTTCAAGCGCAAGCCCCTAAGGGACAAAGATGGGTTCAAACCCAGCCAAGATGAGCCTCCATGCCTGTCTATCTACCCTTACAGACACCAGAACTGTTAAATATGAAATCCATATTAGCTAGTCAATCTTCACTCCTGTAACTTAATTCTCATTATTAGCTCTACTTAAAACAGGAGTAGAAACTAGCATATGGAATTTTATGTAAGCAAAGATTCTCTTAAGTCACTTTTATTGCTTTGGACTGTCATCAAGTATTCTAGTACCTATTTTCATTGAGAAAAACTTTTATTATTTGTCTAGGTAAATCTTAAATTTTAACCTTCAAGAAGATTCTTTTTTAAGATTTTATTTATTTATTTGACAGAGAGAAACACAGCGAGAGAGGGAACACACGGAGGGAGTGGGAGAGGGAGAAGCAGGCTCCCCGCTGAGCAGAGAGCCTGAGGTGGGGCTCGATCCCAGGACCCTGGGATCATGACCTGAGACCAAGGCAGAGGCCAAAAAGATTCTTAAATGTTTTTGAAGTTTTGCTGGAAAGTAAATGCCTGTTCATAGGTCCTGATATGCAAAAAATTCACATTTTAATGCATACACAACTACAATTTGCATTTCTCTACCAGGGAGTTCTCTAGAATGGAAATTCACTATAAAACACTGAGGGATTTCTGTCGAGCACAAATGAAGTTCTCAATGTTTGTCAAATAAAGTAAACAATCCGAAAACAACACAGTGTCTCATGGTAAATCGGGCCACATGGGACTTCAGATGCCAGTAACCCCAGCGCTTCCTCTCGGCGGCCTCACAGAACCGACACAACAGACTATGGAAGGAAACAAATTCTCTCCACCGCGTACCGCTTCGAAATGGGAACGAGACTATTGCTTAGAAAGGAAGTTAGTCTACACCAGAGGTCGGCAAGCCTCTGTGCGCGGGGCCGGAAAGTAAGGGATTCCAGCTCTGGGGGCGTTTGAGCTCCGATGCGAACGACTGAGCCATCGTAAAAGCAGCCGTAACGCTTGAGCGAATGAACACGGGGGACTGCGGCCCAGTGACACCTGATGACGGACACTAAAATCCGCATGTTATTACAACGTTCGCGTGTTATTTCGCAGGGTTCTTTCTTTTTTTTTTAAGCATTTAACAGGGGCACCTGGGTGGCTCAGTTGGTTCAGCACACAATTCTGGATTTCGTCCAGCTCAGGTCATGACCTCTGGTCGTGGGATCCAGCCCTGTGTGGGGCTCCAGGCTGGATGTGAAGTCTGCTTAAGATTCTCTCTTCCCAGGGACGCCTGGGTGGCTCAGTTGGTTGAGCAGCTGCCTTCGGCTCAGGTCATGATCCCAGCGTCCTGGGATCGAGTCCCACATCGGGCTCCTTGCTCATCAGGGAGCCTGCTTCTTCCTCTGCCTCTGCCTGCCACTCTGTCTGCCTGTGCTCGCTCTCTCTCCCTCTCTCTCTGACAAATAAATAAATAAAATCTTTAAAAAAAAAAAAAAAAGATTCTCTCTTCCCAGAGACGCCTGGGTGGCTCAGTCGGTTAAGCCACAGCCTTTGGCTCAGGTCCTGATTCCAGGGTCCTGGGATCGAGTCCCGTGTCCAGCTCCTTGCTCGGCAGGGGGCCTGCTTCTCTCTCCGCCTCTGCCTGCTCGTGCGCTGGCGTGTGCACACGCTCTCTCTCTCTCTGACAAATAAATAAAATTAAAAAAAAAAAAAAGATTCTCTCTCCCCCTCTCCCTCTGCCCCTCCCCTGCTCACACTCACTCTCAACGAAAGAAAGAAAGAAAAATAAAATAAAGACTTAACAATGTAAAACACATTCTTGGCTCACAGGCCTTGTGAGAACAGGTGGTAGGCTGATGCGGCTTGTGGTCAGTAATTCCCTAACCCCTGTTCTAAATATATACTCTGACATCTATTTGCTGGCAATTAGGTACTTCTATTTCATTATTAAGAACAATAAAAAGAAATGTGCTTTAAGGCTTTGTCTAAACTGCTGGTATACAGGTTTTTAAAAGAAAAATTTTAAAAATTACTTGCACCCCAATTAAATGTACTGCAAGAGGAGCAACGAGGTCAAACCTCACTTCTTTCTGGACCTCACACCTGCACAGCTCTCGTGCACAGTCAAAAACACACCTCGGTTCTACAGAGGTTTCTGGTTACAAAGCAGCAAGTGTAAGTTCACTTGGAAAGTACATTTACACGCCTCCAGTGAATGAAACATGGAGCCACATGGAGATGTGTGACAGCAAAAAGGCGTGCTCTGAAGTTCCACGACTAAACCACCTCCATGCGGTTTAATTAAAACTGTCCCCAGTCATTTAAAAAAGGCCATTTGTGGAACAGGCCAGTAATAGAAAATGTTTGTCACGTAAAACTTTAGCATTCACCTGTCTAAAAAGATAACCTGCAAACTTTAAACCTTTATGTGGGATTGTTATATGGCTATACGTGATCGCGGCAAGAAACACATGTGCTATGGGCTATGACTCTGGCAATCTGGCTAATATTTAAAGACGTGCTCATGAAGCAATACCATTATTTTTATTAATATAATGCTAATGATGCTAAATGAAACTCTTTCCGCAGGAAACAAGTCACGTAGCTTCCAAGTCACCCCCGCCCCAGCAGAACAAAAACAAAAGCAAAACAAATCAGTCTGAGACTCACTTGAGTGTTTAATTCAAACCTATATTTGTAGTTTCTAAAATGTTGATCCACAGACCACTTTCTTGTTACACGTGTGTACCAATGAAAACAAAAGGCAGAGAGTCACCGCCATCCCTGCAAAAGGAATGGCTCCTTTTCTAACATTCTTGAAAAATGTACAATGTACAGTCCTTGCGCCTCAGCGCAGGCGGCGACGTAATAAATACACCGGCGGCCGCTGTCCCCGCCGCCGCGCGGCTCCGCCTACTACCTGCTACGCGCTGCGCGGCTCCGCCTACTACCTGCTATGCGCCCGCTCCTTTTTGGATTTCTCCAGGGCCTTGTCCATGGTCTTCTCGTTCTCTCCTCGACACTTGGGACAGTACCACTTGCCCTTGGGTTTGTGATTCAGCCCCACGCAGGAGAAATGGAACCATTCGATGGGGCACTCGTCGTTGTCACAGCCGATCATTTCTCCATAGGAGACCTGATTGCACAGACAGTACGTCGGCTCGTTCGGGTCGATGGGAAGGTCCGCAGGGGACGCTTCCCGCTCGGCTTTGGCCTTGGAGCGTTTCTTCTTCTTGGAGGCTTTTGCTTTCTTCTCCTTAGGCGTCCCGGAGGTGATGTCATCGTGGTCGTGATTATTGGCCGCATTCTCTCGGTTCTCGTTGTTGCGCTGCCGCCGAGACCGCTTATTATTGGTCTTCTCCGCCTGCGTGATTGTCTCACTCTTGGACTTATCCTGGCCGGCTTTGCCGCTGTGGCCGGTGGCGTCATTGACCTCCTGATGAGCCTCAAAGAGCTCCACATGACTGTCCACCTGCCTGGTCCGGTTCTCCACCAACTCCACCATCTGACTCACGATCTGGATCTTCTCGTCGCCCAGCTCCTGGCTCCGAATCAGGGCTCTCTGAATGCAATGCAGCACTCTCCTTTTCTGGACGCCGTCTGTCTCGCGTTTGAATTTCTCATAATACTCATCCAGTTCCTTCAGGATTTCTGCAAAGGAAAAATAAGCATTACGTCCAATCTATAAACACTACAGAGCTTTTCATTTAAATTCTCTAGTCTATAAAAAAGTAATTGCGAAGGACAGAAATCATCAACGCAAGATTTCCTAGTATGAAGATCCTATAACGTACGGGCCTTTCAAGCGACTTTTTTGCCCCCACTGGAAAAAAATTCCTGGAACTAAACACAAATACCAACACAGTTCCCATTTGGCAAAGTGCCCCTCAGAGCCCCCAAGGGACTCCGTGCACTTAAAAGCATGGGTAACTAACGTTACTGTCAGGGTCAGCAACTGAGGGGAGAAGTTTAAATTAGGTGGAGTGCTGCTACCCAAACTTTTCCTTTCTATAAAACTAAGTGGTCGGGGCGCCTGGGTGGCTCAGTGGTTAAAGCCTCTGCCTTCGGCTCAGGTCATGATCTCAGGGTCCTGGGATCAAGTCCCGCATTGGGTTCTCTGCTCAGCAGGGAGCCTGCCTCCTCCTCCTCCTGTCTCTCTCTCTGCCTGCCTCTCTGCCTACTTGTGATCTGTAAAATAAATTAAAAAAAAAAAAAAAAAAAAAAAACTAAGTGGTTTATGTCCTATATTTCCAGTTTTTACTCAAATATTCTTCTAACTTAAAGACCTTTATTCCCTTTATTTTAATGCACCAATGTCTAGAATACTGCATGAAATCAGAGAATGTGTGTAAATAGTACCTAGTGACCCAGGGCCTCCGTCTGTCAGTCACATCACGGCCGTCTCACCTTGCTCCTCTGTATTACTAAAAACAAAACTGGTTTGCCACAGCTTAAGTCAGACGAGCTTGCTTTGCCTTAAAACAAAGGGGTCAGATTTTGCTCTTGCATTTACTGGTTAGGACAATACATATTCACATCTGTAAAAATCAACAGATTTTAAGACATAACCAAAACTAAAAAACCCTCAGTACTAAATTTAAACTTTGTACAGGGGCGCACCTGACTGGCTCAGTCGGTAGAACACGTGACTCCTGATCTTGGGTTTTGAGTTCAAGCCCCACACTGAGTGTAGAGATTACTTAAAAATAAAATCTTAAAACAAAAAAGTGTGTATGATTTAAAAATGTAATTTGGAAAGTGTAATTAGGGGGTGTGTGGGTGGTTCAGTGGGTTGGGCCTCTGCCTTCAGCTCAGGTGGTGATCTCGGGGTCCTGGGATCGAGCCCCAGATAGGGCTCTCTGCTTGGGGGGAGCCTGCTTCCCCCACCTCTGTCTCTCTGCCTACTTGTGATCGCTCTCTATCAAATAAATAAATAAAATCTTTAAAACAGAATATAATTGGGCAATTTCTAAAGATATAAAAGTTGTTAAATAATCTTGATTGAAACAAGGAAAATAAATATTCTTGCCAAAAAACTACTTAAATATAAACAGAAATTTCCAGAGTTATTTTCCCCAAAGAGTAACAAATCTAAACAGTATTAGGGAGCCTGCCGGCCTCAGACAGAAAATCATGCACCTCTTGTTCTTGGGGTTCTGAGTTTGAGTGCCCAGAGTTTGGTGTAGAGATTACTAAAAAAAAAAAAGAAATGAATAAATAGTATCAGATTTTTATCCTGAAACCATTTGCAGTCTCTTAACATTAGGCAATTCTATTCTCCAGCGAGGAAGTGTGGGAGGCAGGATGTATAAAATGTAACCCTCATCCCTTCCAGATCTTATCTCTTATAGTTACAAGGCATAAACCTAACACTGGAATAAACACATGAACACAGACCAACACTGAAGGTTACCTAAATGTATGTATTATTTTCCAGGCTATATTCTTAAACTGAAGACGGCTCTGAAGATACTTCCTAGAAGAACAATGTAGACCATTTACCACCCCCAGAAAGGAGGAATGCCACAGTCCCAGTGTCTGGGAGTAATTAATTCTGAAAATAAATAGGCTCAATTTATCTAAGTTCTGTTTTTCATAGATGTTAAAATATGAGTTTCTGCAACTTATTCTAAGTTAATTGCATATTACAAAGCTACTATTTGGTTTAACTGGTAACCAAATCTGTAAAGTCAATGCTAGCCTTTCACAGAAAAAAAGTTCCTATTACCGTGAAATTCAGTAACCGGTTTTTACAGCACAAGCAAGCTTACATCCACGTGAAGCCTCGCATGTGGAAAAGAAACGAAAATCACAGCACGAAATTACCAAGGAGTAATTCTGTTACCTGCACAGCGGCATGTGTCTCTTAGACTCCCCCCGCGAAGTCCAGTGTCAACAGAGCCACCGCCGCGCGCGGTACCAGCACCCTCCTGTCTAACAGGCAGGTGTCCTGCCGGCGCACCAGGAACTTCTCCGGCTCCCTCAGCTCCAGCGGCCGCTGACCTTCTTCTGAAAATGCTCCACACCACTGTCCCTGCAGGGAAGCCACGGCCGCCACGAAATGAGCCTCCAGCAAAACTCATCTGACCCGTCCACCTGCTAGACACGTACTTGCCCTGTCCACGAAGGCTGCACGGACGCTGGCTAAGACGCGGATGTCCGAGGCGGGGCGGGTATACCCTAGCAACACCTCAAACACCGCAGACGTGACTCAACGCGGCCACGCGAGCTCTACCTCGAGTGCCATCTAACGTGGTGCACTGACCACTCGTCTTTCCGAACCATCTCCGACCGACGCAGGCTGAGGAAAGGCCGCTGGCCACGTCCGGCCTCCAGCACAGGTCGCGGGCACCGAAGCGGTGGGTGCGGCGCCTGCCCGCGAGTGTCCCCGCAGCTCCCCGGCCGGCCGTCGTCGGCGCCGCAGCGGGAGCTCCGCAGCGGGGGCCGCTCTGCGGGACGCCGGCCCCGAAGCAACACAGTCACCGCGCGGGGCGCTACAGCAGCTGTGCGAGGCGCTACAGTAGCCGAGCGGGGCGCAGCCGGTGCCGACACACTCCCCAGGGCGCTCACCAGCGGCGCCGGCGACACGAGTCCTCCCATCTTCGCTCCGCGGAGTCGCCGCCCGGCTCGGCGCCCTCGGGGCCCCCTCGTCCCCGCCAGGCACCCGCCCGGGGCCACTCAAGCTTTCCCCGCTCCGCGCGGCCGCACCCACGGGTCATCGGCCGGACCGCCTGCGGGTCCGTGCGGCTTGAGCCGCGACCTCTGCAGCTCCGGAACCAGCGCTCGCCACGCTCGCTCTGGCGGCCGGTGCCGCCATGGCTCCGCGGCCGGAAGTGACCGGGCTCGGGCCCCTGAGGGACAGGGGCGGGGCGGGGCCCTCAGCCAATGGGGAGGCAGCCAGCGGGCGTCGCGCCACGCCCCGAGAGCCACCGCCTCTGGGGCTCTCCGGGCCGTAGGGCGGAGGCCAAGCGGGACGCCAATCACAGCCCAGGATCACCGACCACGTCCCGCCCCTGCAGCGCCAACGGCCAATCCGAGGCCGGAGGCCGGGCGACCCAAAGACATTCAAATCAACTCGACCTCCTCCTCCTCCTCCCCGCCCCTCCAGAGAAACAAGGAGGCAGCGGAAACGAGACCCGTGCCAGTCACTGCGCAAAGCCCACCCTCATCCGGCTCAGTAGCCAATAGCTCAGCAGCGGACTGATAAGGACATTCCATGGGGGACGCCGAGACCAATCACAAGGAGGCCACAGCGGGACGTTCGCAATATGCTAATAAGACCCCTATAAAAGTAGCTGCGAAGCCCCGGCTCGGCTAGAGCGCGCAGGGGCGCCATGCCGCGGGGTCTCTCAGTGCGCTTGGGGCGTGCGGCCGCTTCCTACCTCCCCCCGCTTCCGTTTCCCTGCTGCGCAGCCCTGTAAACATTAGTAAACTCCGAGCGACGATCCGCGTCCCGTACACAGCCCCCCGCGCCGTGCCTGGCCAGGCAGGAAAGTTTCCCCAACAGCCAACAATTCCCAGCGGATACGAACCCTCCGCCTCTCTCCGGAACTCTGGGCAGCCGGGGCTGCAGAGAACGACCCACAGGTCCTCTTCCCTGCCATGTTCCTCTGCGAGCCGACAAGCTTTGCCCGCGTCCCCGAGCACAGCAGATGGGCGACTCCCCGACCCATTCTCCTTCCCCTTCCCTGCCCTGCCCTCCCCTTCCCCGCCTCACGCACGGAATAAAGCCCTCGCCCTCGGCGAACTACACCCGGCCGCGCCGCCCCTCACTCGCTGTACAGCTCCACGGGAGGCCCGGGGGGCCGGGCGGGGGCGGCGGCGACCCGGGCCGCACGGCGCGGAGTGTCGACCCCGGACTTTATATAACACTCAGATTCGGGACTGGGTGGGGGTGGCTCCGGGGATGGCGAGCAGAGCCGGGGACCCGCCGCCCGCAGCGCCCTCCCAGCAGCCCTGCGCGCAGCCCCGTCGCTGCGCCCCTCAGCCCCAGCGACCGCGGCACATCCCTCCCTCGGCGCCCTAGCCTGCGCCCCCTGAGCCCCCTCCCCCGCAGCACCCCGCCTCGTCACTTCACTACAAAGAGCGCTTTGCTCGCGCAGCCTGGCATGGAGACCTCCCGTTCCTCCTTCCTCCTCCGTGTCCGGGCTTCGTGCACAAGGACCTTGGCGAATCAAAGACGCTCCAGACCTTTTGTTCCTGCCCGGCCAGGGCCGCCGCCGCGGGCCCGCGGCTCCTCCGGGCGGGGAACAGGACGGCCCCGCGGCCCGGCGGCGCGCCGCGACCGGCGGGGATGGAGCGACCGCCCCCGCCCATCCCTCCCGCCGTACCTTGGTATTTCGCGTCGATCTCCCGCATCAGCGAGACGCTTCTCTGCAGGTCGAAAGGCAGAGACTCGATGGAGTCCAGGTAGTCCTCCACGTAGTTCACCAGGTGGACCTGCTCCCCGTTGGCAGGGCTCAACATGGTTCACCGAGGTCCCCGGCGACTCGGCGCGGCTTTCCGCTTCCTCCAGCCCCCGCCCCCTCGGAGCCCAGAGCTGCAAAATGCAAAGCTCCCGCCCGCCGGCGCCCCCCCTCCGGCCGGCCCCGCGCCGCTACATCTGCGAGCCGCGCCGCCTGGGCCCGGGGACCCGGCGCCTGGCGGGCCCGGCCGGCGCTCGGCGGCCTCGGGCGCGGGGCGGGCGGGGCGGCGCGTGCGGGCGCGCACCCCGGCGCAAGGGCCGGGGCCGGGGCCGAGCGAGCGCGGGAAGGGGCGCGCGCCGCCCGCCGCGCCGCACTTGTCCAACGTGGAGAACCCAAATACCAGTTTCAAACACTTGGGAAACATTCGGCCCCCCGCACCGCGCATGCGCCCCGCCCCCCCCATCGCCCCCTCCCCGCGGGCCCCGCCCCCGCCGCATCACGCCCCTCACCGGCCCAGCAGCGCGGGGGTGTGGCTTTGTCTGTCACTTTGGCTGGGGAGGGGTCGCGGGGACAGGGGCGGCAGGCGAAGCGCGAACTTTACTGAGTTTCGCACTAGGAAGCAGAGCCTGTCGGGCGGGAATGCAGGACCATCCGGGAACGTGGGGAGCAGCCGGCCCTGCCGAAGACCCGGTCGGAACCGACTCAGGCATGGGACGGCCGCCGCCGAGACCATCGCTAACCCAAGGCGCTACCTCCCTAACAACTCCCAGTCCCTCACTCTCCAGAGCCCCGCAGCAGAGCGGGGGCATAAGTAAGGCCCGAAAGAGACTGGCAACACCGAGACCCAATCCGCTTGCCGCCCTCACCTCAGTTGGCCAATCAAGATGAAGAGGAGGCGGGGCGAGTACGGATAACTCCTCCCAGGCACCGACTACGAGAAACCCGCGTCCTAAGGGGGGCGGGGGGGGGGAAGGGCGGGCCGTGCAGCGCGGAAGTGGTGGCGCATGCGCGCTTGCAAGGCCAGGGCGGCCAGCGGCCCGGGAGGGAGGAGACCTACCATTAGGCGGCCGGACCACCGCTCCCAGCAACCTCAGCGGCTCGCGCGCCTGCGCGGTCCTCACCGCCTTCCCTTTGTGTCGCCGGCCGGAGCCCGGTTCAGAGCGGCTCGCAGACAAAGGGGCCCGAGAGTGGAGCTGCTTTCCGGACTGGGCTCCCGCAGAGGGCGGGGCATCCGACCCCCTCCCTACTCTGCCCTAGGATCCACTCTCATTCGAAAGACCCCCCGAAAGCAGGGTGGGGCAGTCGTCCGGTCCCGGGGGTCCGGGACCCCCTCCCCATACCGTCTCGGCCCTTCCCCTCCCCCACGGCCTTTCTCCCCGCGCTAAGCTCCCGTTTTCGGGCTTTCTGAAAAGCCCGGCGCAGACGTTCCCGTTGCCTAGGCGACGGGCCCGCGCACCGGCCCGCCGCTTCCGGCCGAGGCCCCGCCCCGTGGGCGTGGCCCGCCCCGCCTTTGTCCGGCGGGCTCGGGCCTCCTCGGCTCGGACCGGTGCCCCGGGCTGCTCCTGGCCGGCCGGGGCGCGCGGCTGTGAGGTCCTGCTCGCGCCGGCCCTTGCCCCGGGAGGTCGGTCGGGGTGTCCTGTCGCGGCCTCTGCCGGGGGAGCCGGCTCCGCGGTGCCTGCCTGCTTCGCCCCAGCGGAGCGGGTGCCCGGGGCGTGCGGGGTGCGGGTCCGCGGACTGCGAGCCCCAGGCCGTGGCCGGTGTTTAAAGTCCGTTCGGGGCTCCCTGGCTGGCTGGCCCGGCGGAGCCCCCGCTGGAGTCGGGGTTGTGAGGCCCCGCCCCACCGTGAGTGCAGAGATTACGTACAATCTTTAAATAAAAGGTCAATCCCTAAAGAGAAGTAAAGGGGCTGCGAGTGAGCCGGTAGCGCTTCGACCGACCCGACGGCCGCGGGGTGGGCGGTGCTCGGGGACGCCCGGGGCGGCCGGAGGGCGGCGGCCCCGGCGCTGAGCTGTTCTGTCTTCGGGGGGGGGGGCGGTTTCCCGGTCCGGCGGACGCGAAGGGCGACCGGTGGTTCGACCGACTGTAGCCCTGCGGCTCGGTCCGGCCTTCACCGTGAGAGCCCTGCGCCCTTCCCGCGGCAGGACGTCCGCTGTGAGGTCGGGAGGACGGTCGCTGTACGTAGCGACTCGCGCTTCTCGCAGTCTGCGCCCGGCTGAGTGGAGTTCGTTTCATTTGATGCAACAACTTGCTGGCCGCGAGTCTGCGGGAGATGCTTGCGCACTGCGCCCTGTGGCAACGGAGACCCTACGGATTACAGAGACTAAGTTGAAAAGAAGATCTCCCTTTCTCCGAGAGCATATAAATAATTGTAAAGTTCCCGAGCAAGAAAGACATAGGTCCGTTGGACCCTTGCATGTACCGACTGTAGAAGGAGTAGTGTTTGCATTTCCGAATAAAGGTTAGAAGGAACTTACCCCTTCCAACCATAATCAAGCCGGTTTGAACTAGGTTATCTTTTTTAAAATTCATGATGCTAGGGCGCCTGGTTGGCTCAGTTGGATAAGCGACTGCCTTCAGCTCAGGTCATGATCCTGGAGTCCTGGGATCGAGTCCCGGCATCAGGCTCCCAGCTCCAAGGGGAGTCTGCGTCTCCCTCTGATCTTCTCCTCGCTCATGTTGTCTCTCACTGTCTCTCTCTCAAAAAAAAAAAAAAAAAAATCTTAAAAAAAAATCATGATGCTATCTGAATAATGATTCCTTTCATGTTTTCATGGACTCTACAGACACAGAAACAAAAGGTTGTCTTAATTCAACAGGAAATAGTTCAGGAGTGCCGACCAGGTGCTCGCTACTGCTCACCGACTGGGGATGCAGCAGTGACCGAGGCGCCTACGTTGTATAGAACAGTTCACCTTGTGGGCTGAGGTCAGAAGATATTTTATGTATTAGCTTTACAAAGTTATTAAAATACATATCGATGACTTCACAGTTTTCTAAACAAGATCAGAACACCAAGAGCTAAAACGTAACTCTGACCATGCGATTTAAATATATTACTAAGGAAAAGTGTTTAATTTTGAAGATACATTGAATTACCTTGGTTGTTTCAGTTCTGCTCTTTGGAGCGTGTTGCAAAAAGGATACTAATTTTTTTTTTCTGAGTTATATTTCTAGTTTAACAGGTGATACTCAAAGCCATGGGAGTAAAACATAAGAGGTGAACAAAATATTTTATGTTTTGAGGTGCTTAAAAAATAAAAATAAATGCTAACATATTTCCCTCAAACTTGAAATAGCTTTTTTTTTTTAATTTTATTTATTTATTTGACAGACAGAAATCACAAGTAGGCAGAGAGGCAGGCAGAGAGAGAGAGGGAAGCAGGCTCCCTGCCGAGCAAAGAGCCCGATGTGGGGCTCCATCCCATGACCGTGAGATCACGACCTGAGCTGAAGGCAGAGATTTAACCCACTGAGCCACCCAGGCGCCCCTCAAACTTGAAATACCTTAAACAGTAGGCTACCTTATCTACTCTACTTTGAATTTGCAAGATTTGGCCTTGAAAGAAAACGTATTACTGAGAACTGCATTTTTGGTTGTTGTCATTAAGGACTAGGAAATGGCATTCTAGATACTTTGGAATCATTAGTTTTATTAATTTTTTTATTTTTTAAAAATTTTAAAAGATTTATTTATTTATTTCACAGAGACAGTGAGAGAGAACACAAGCAAGGGTAGTGGGAGAGGGAGAAGCAGGCTTCCCGCTGAGCAGGGCTCCATTCCAGGACTCTGGGATCATGACCTGAGCTGAAGTCAGACGCTTAGCGACGGAGCCACCCAGGCGCCCCTGGAATCATTAATTTTAATACACTTCTTTGTTTTGGCCTGGACTGGGGAGGAGTCACTTCAAAGAAACAGGATTTTCTTTTGGGGAGTATATTTGCTAATAAATGTTCCCAGTCATTTTTACTTTACCTTAATATTCAACCTGCAAAACGAATCATATTTTTCAATTAGCAATACCGCTCCTCAGATAAACCTCATTGGCTACGATGCCGCCACTGCGCAAAGCTAAGAATCCTATTTTTAATCACCATTATGTAGAGGGTTATGTTTGTCATTGGTCTGATGATTTCAGAAAGACTTAATTGAGTAAAGTAGAACGGCTGCCAAAGACGGCTGAACACCTTACACAACTGGTTTTCTGAAAACAGAAGATACCATTGTTAATTTAAAAGTCGTGAATTTTCTAGGGCCAATTCCAGCATGCCAGCTGTCCAGATTCCTGTGCAGGATTCGGTCTTCCCTGTTACTAAATGTGTTTTCAAAACTTCTAGCCCTTGCCTTGAATTCTGTGTGTTGACACAGATTGCCTTTTGTTCATTTGCTTATTTTACTAGCACATCTAGTATCTGGACCAGAGCTTTCTCCACGGCGGAAATTTTCTTCCACATGCACAACAGGTGGATTTCATCACAGATTAATTCAGCAGCTCTTTTCTTTAAAATTTTTTTTTTTTATTTGACGGAGAGAGATCACAGTAGACAGAGAGGCAGGCAGAGAGAGAGAGAGAGGGAAGCAGGCTCCCTGCTGAGCAGAGACTCGATCCCAGGACCCCGAGATCATGACCTGAGCCGAAGGCAGCAGCTTAACCCACTGAGCCACCCAGGCGCCCCTTGCAGCCCTTTTCTGAATGTAGTGCTGGAACAGTGAGGGGGTTCCAAAGAATTCACAAATCTAAAGTACTGGGGCGAGAAGTACATACATTGTACTAGTCACAGGAGATACTTACGACCTAACCAAGATCAGGAT